GTCTGTCTTACTTCCCTGAGTGAATAGGCTAATTTGTGCCCATTTAGAGGGATGCTTTCTGTGCCATCTCCTTATGCAGCTATTATCTAGTATCTAGTATCTATGTCAATAAACAGAAAAAGCTGCCTGCATACACGCACTGTCATCAGCCGCTTATTATGTTATGTTATGTATCTGTGATAATGACAGTGCCTGTGGCTGTAGTAAACACAGACAGCCAGACAGACAGTGGCAGAACTAGATTCTATGGCCGCATTTTTCGATGGCAGTTATGGGAGCCTGCCGATAGTGGAACATGTGCACACAAACTGCTAGAAAAACACTCACAGTGTCATGCAATCAATCATATATCATATGGTAACAGATATAAGATGTGTGTAATATCAGAGCACATGATATTCATACAGTAAATATTAACATAAGCAAGGATATAAACTCTCTGATGCAAGTATGCACACATACTTCTCTACTGTACAGAAAAAGTAGTGAACATAACCACAGGGACTTACTAACATGTCATGGGTTCCTTCAGTCACTGTTTGTTTTGTTATACTAGCAGAGACCAAGATGTCCCTTCAGAGAATTCGTCAGGACTTGAGTTCAGTTTGACTTCTGCTGTCAACGTATGAAAAAGAGACTTTAGCAACTCTTGCCTATAAACACCCACTTTCCCCTCCCTTCACACCTCCTCCCACAGCAGACCTTGACTCATGCACCCCAGGGAACACTCAATGTGAAAAGGCAGACACCCTACCCCCACATCTACTCGCCCATGACCCCCTAAGACCACAACAGGAACCACATTCTTTCCTTTGTGGCTGGTCTTTCATCCTTCTCCACTGCCAGGGCACCAGAAATAACCTGCGAGAAGTATTGTGTGGCAAAAACTGGGCCTTTTGTTTGGGCCATGCTACGACGTGCTGATAAAGTAAACACACCACGCTCTATCTTTCTCACTTTCATTCTGGCTCTGGTGGTAGTGACAGGTGAGGCTGACATAGCTTCACCAAGGAAATACCCTTTAAGAAATAATGTAATATGTGTTTATAGGTATGTGTATGCCTAGGGAGTGTCAAGTGTGTGCATCTTTCGCCTGTAAGCACAAGCTGTTCCCTTGAAACTGAGATAATTGTGTGGATTGAACACACCTAGTTTCATGTTGTTTTTTTGTTTGTTGTTTGCACATAGATATAGCAAGAGGAGTGCTGCAGCAGATTTGATGCTTTCAGGACAATAAAATCTTAGCTTGCTAGCAATTTAAAAAGGCAAGTATATGTAGTAGCCACTCATGTTGACCCCAGAGGCAGCAGCAGCAGTCAGGCAGAGTGAGAGGATCTGACAGCACAAGACAGTACAAGGTGTGGTGTGTTTATCTTTTAGTTGGGCTTCCTTCATTACACACGCACTTCCTGCATTACAGATAACCCCTTGGAATTGTGGTAAACATTACCCTATTGCACACTGTATTCATGTGCATGTATAAGGACGCACCCTCCAAAGTATGTGCTTGGTTGCATACATTTAAAGGAATAGACTGACATTTTGGGAAATATGCTTATTTGCTTTCTGGCTGAGATATGGATGAGAAGATCGATACTTCATGTATGTCTGCTTAATGTGAAGCTACTGCCAGCAGCTGGTTAGCTTAGCTTAGCATATCTCAGAAATTGGAAACCGCTAGCCTGGCTCTGTCTGAAGATAACAAAAGTCATCTACTAGCACCTCTAAAGCACACACAAATTAATGGTTTACATTTTTTTTTGTTTAATCCCTGCAAAAATAAGTATTAAAATGACCATACACCCATTTACAGGAGGTTATGTGCCAGAGAACTTCTTGGCACAGTGCAGTAACTTCCTGGAGTCACTGGTTGGCTAGTAAGTGGTCCTGGTCAGGAAATAGCCCCAGATAAAACGACAAATTGTAATTCTGATACTTTGTATGGATTAAACAAACAAGATACACCATATTAATCAGTGAGCTTTAGAGGTGCTTTTAGGCTTGTTACTGTTTCTGGTTCCAGTACTTTTGCTAAGCTAAGCTGATCTGCTGCTAGCTGTAGCTTTATATTTAAAGAGGTGGTATTATGCTCATTTTCAGGTTCAAAATCTTATTTAGGGGTTGTAATTTTCAAAAGACACCATATTTTTCTCATACTGCACATTGCTGCAGCTCCTCTTTTCACCCTATGTGTTGTGCATTTGTACAAGTAAGATGCATCTTACTTGTACAAAATCTTTGTTGGGAGTTGCACATGCGCAGTTCCCAGGTAAGGACTACTAGCCAATCAGAAGCAGAGAAGGGCCGGGTCGTAAGAAACAAGGTAGTGTGATCCAAATCAAAGCTGCTTCAGACTGCGATCGTAACCTAGCAGATGGTATAAGTTACTCAGAAGTCCACAACATCATTGTTCCACATCTTACCATAAACCACTACAAAAGTCATCATATTTCAACTCAGTTTTACATAAAAAGTTGCCAAACAATTTGAACGTTTGCTCAGTAGCTTTCACATCGACTCTACTCATCCCTGCTCCGTTTTTTTCATTGCAGATAGTACCCAGAGATAGTAGGTAGCTTGTCGTCATAGCGACGCCACACACAACTGCCGCGACGTAATGTTCAATGCGACACACACACCAGCGATCCACACAGCTTTCTATTTTTAAAGTTAAAATGTTTCAACATTACTCAGAATGTAGAGACAGATAAGTGGTATGAAAACCTCCCTGCAGAAGCGGAGGGCTCTGTGAGCGGGCGGCTGGCCGGCCTCACACGTGCCTCCCGCTGGTTGGCACAGGCTTCCCCCGCAGCCACTTGCGGAGCTCCTCAACTCCGAAATTATTCAAGCACATTTTTGTTCCGCCATCACTTCTCATAAAACTGTCAATATTCAACTCAACTAAAAACTTTTCAGAAGTGGATTTAGTGATGAAATTCCATACGAAAACTGTAAAATATAAAACTTTCTGTTGCTGGCCTCTGTCTGGTGCAGCAATGATGATGCAGTGAATAGTGAATATTCTCTCTGACCAATCAGCAGTCTTTTCTTTTTTCACGTTACATTTTAGTATCCCTCAGCTCGCTTAGAACCTCGATGGAGGTGAGGTGATATGAAAAAAAGTACCTGGAAGCAACATTTCTACATTGGAAAACCAAACAAAGGTGAGTCGAGTCCGCTCAGACTAGCTTGGTTTGAGGGCGTGCCTGACCCCCGCTAGCCGCTTGGCAAGCTTTATGACACGTTTTCATTGTGATGTCACATGTAAAGGAAGTGAAGGGCTGGACTACAAACGAGCTGTTTTCAAGCGGTTCAGAGCAGAGCTTTCTGTGGGAGATGGGAACTCCCTTTGGGCTGGACTTTGGGCTTTTTCACTTTGCAAACCTGTTACATGCACAAAAAGATATATAACTCAATAAAGGAGAGGGAAAAGCCAAAAAGCATTATACCACCTCTTTAAGGAACGGATATAAGAGTAGTATTAATCCTCTAATCTATCATTTACTCTCTGCCAGAAAGCAATAAGTGTACTCACCAAAATGCCAAACTATTCCTTAAAGCAGCAAGTAGTAAATGAAGAGGGATGGTGACCTTCCCTAATTGACAGAGCTGCTATAGCTTCACTGTCATCTTTGTAACCAACCAATGAAAGAGGCCAGAAGTGAGGTTATAAGGCTGACAAACAGGGATCTCACTCAGTCACTTGACTGATTGATTTACATTGACTGTCCAGAATAGAACAGACCACCAGCAAAAAAGTCTGAAAAAGACTTCCGACACAGGAGTAAGAGAGTGATGATGCCAAATATTTGTAATAGTCATTACACTCTCTCAGTAACTTTTCAACCATCATAGAAAGTCAGGCATCTTTATTATGCTTCTCATGATCAAGTATTAGCTTAACTTGATTATTGTAACAGAATTATGATGTTTGCATGTGCCAGAGCAGGTTACTGAGTTCATGAGTTAGAAAGACTTCTCTGCGCATGCAGATCTTTATTGAACACAGCCATTAGTGGCAAAAAAAAGACAGGGGGCGGGGGGAGGCATGTAGCTGGACAGATGGAGGGCAGAAACCTTACACCAATCTGTGGATAAGGAGGGCAGGACCTGTCTAAAATTTTTAAAGTAGAAGAACTGGTCTGATCAATGGTGATTCAACCTGTTTACTTTCAAAACAAATTTAGGATTGCCTTGATAAGATCTTTGATCAGCCAATGACAGTTTAAAGTTAGCATGGAAACTTCCCTTCAGGACTTCACAAAAGAAGGAAGAGTGATGTTTGTTTTGCATCTCAGATCACTCCCTCTTTCGTAAACCCACAATTTCCATGTCAGTGGTGAGTGCTTTTCCTTGTCTGACACTCTCTGTTGGACAAACACCATCAGTAATCCAAAGGGCTTTATGTCAGTAACTAGACGGTGTTCAGGTAATTCCAATCAAAACATACAGTGCGGTGTTAGCAGCAGTCGGACAAGGAAAATAAGAGTCATCAACAAAAACAAGCTGTGTCATAAGCCTGGTGTCCATCCAATCAAGGAATCATAGGTAGAAACTGACAAAGGAAACACAGAAGCTGATTCTATTGAAGCATTATTACTGAAAATGTATGAATCTAGCATCACTGTCATTCAGCTGTGGATTTACAATGGTAACTGTAAAGCTGCACCAGTGAATACTTTTACATTAAAATTGCTCAGATGTGTACTGTGAAAGGTGTTGGACATACTGATGGAACACAGAAAATGATCATGCAGCTCTGTGGAGCGTTTTAACATCTTTAAGCTGATTCTGTTATTGCCATGCCCGTGCCTCAGTTTTCCCACTTCGCTGTGTTTGTTTTGGTTTAACTTTACTTCATTTCAGTCTCTTATCAACCTAATTTTCAGCAGTGGTAGGCATATGTTTTCAACAAGAAAGCTCTGATGAACACACTGTTTACTACCTCGCGTGCACCAAATAGACACAAAGTGTGCGACTAGCTGGTGAACATAGTAGAGCATTTAGCAGCCAGAGCCAGATAATTGCCTCAAGAGTTGGTGTAGACCAAAACAGAGCTAAAAGGAGAGTGAATATTGGACATTTATTAGGTGGCCGGAGACACGACTCCAAATGAACAGTGTTGCTCCATGTCTCCTGGATGTGTAAATAGGTAACTGTTTGCTAACATGTTCTCCATTACAACTTTAAAAGGTGTAATATGTCAATGTTGTCCCAATCGACCAAAAGGCAATTAATGCAAGTTTAAAATGGTTTTCATTTCTTCATTACACCTCATCACCACCCAGTACTGTAGTTATTTTTGCTGCCTGTATCTGTACATATATGCAGTTCTGACAACTCACATCCTTAACAGTGTCACCTGCCACAACAAATTTTTCAATGATTGGCTGCCCTCCAAACTATGATGAATGGGAGGGGTGCCTTACGTCCTGAACATGAAATCTCTTGAAAAGGAGGAAGCTCTTAGTAAATATTTAGATACAGCTAAATTACAGAGATGTACAGATCAGAAAGCAGATCAACTGTGTTTATATGTTAATCTGTCTAAACAAAACATGTATACGCCGTTGTTGAATATCCAGAGCGTTCTTCCTTCATGTCACTGTGGCGGAGTTATTTAAGTGGTGAGGCTGTGGGGAGAGCAAAGCAGAGACAGGCCATATGACACAGATTTGAAAGCACTTTGTGGCTGGTTTTGGCAGCTGGAAATGCCACTATAGCTTCTATGGTATGCACCAGGGGGAGATAAAATGGAGTGAAGAAAATGAAAGAAAAGAAGGAAATTGCTTTAAATGAAAGCCTCCCTTTTTTCTGCAGGGAGGCTTTCCGAGTCTTTGCGTCTACCCAGAGCTGTAGATGGCTCCATATGGGCTTAAATTGGTGAATATATGTTTGCCATTTTGGCCCAGTAGAGGATATTAGAGCACAGGAAAACAAAATCTGATAATCTCACTCCACAGAGGTCATGTGCTTTGAATTGTGGAGAAAAATGCGAAACCCAACAACAGCACGTTTAATGTGAAAAGTTAATCAATTTTTGAAACAAACACAAGTTCCCTTTGATGTTTGTCTGGGTTTCACTGCCACACAGATATTTTTATCACAAGACTTAGGATTAGAGAACAGAGAAATTAGTGGGAGAGAAACAGAAAGAGAGAACAAGGTATTAGTGACTAATGCTGAAAAAAGAAACTGGAGCTTTAAAGCTCATAAAGCCCCTTCCTCCTACTCTCCTGACACCCAATCAATCTGTCCCTGACGTCCTGTTCTCTGCACAGGTCCACCCAAGAACACAGGCCTTTTCACATGGTGCCGTTTATGTTATGTAACAGTTTGTTATAACACAGGGCCTAGATGTCAAAAGGTGTCATTAGCTGACAAGAACTTTCATTGTTAACAGTGTACACATATACTGACATCAGTATGACTTTACGTCAGCATGATTAACTGGTATAGAAGGATTCATCAGATACCAATGTATGACTACTATAATTTCCAGTTAGAGCCATCCTAGAAAGGCTTTACACCTCGTGATCATTCCGTGAGATTTTTTTATGATTCAATGCATTGTTAACAGGCATATATGCTGTAGTTACATATAGTGTTCATAAGAGTAACCCACCAAGACAGTGCTTTAAAACGTTCATGTTTTAGTCCTATTTTAGTACTATTTACTACAGCATACCAAAGTATATTGATTCCTTCCAGGCAAATGTTATTATTGGACATACCTATCAATTTCTCATGCCAGCACATTAACATAAAACACACAGACATTTAAGCCACAGTAATTGTTCTATGCAAAAGCGTATTCTAATGTTCGATACAATGAGGCTTCAGTAGTCTGAGTCACACAAATGAAGTAGGTATTTTCC